CATAGAATTGTTGAAAAAATACATACCACTTTCGAGCGAAAAGAATACTGCTCAGCAGCGTTTTTGGACATATCTCAAGCGTTTGATCGAGTATGGCACCAAGGACTTCTTTACAAATGTAAAAAGCTTCTGCCACTTAACTATTATACGTTCATAAAATCGTATCTATTGAAAAGACTCTTTTATGTCAACAATGAAAATGAAATGTCTTCTCTATATGATATTAGAGCTGGAGTACCACAAGGCAGTGTACTCGGTCCAACCCTTTATCTGCTTTTCACATACGATTTACCGAAGACGGTAGGAATTGTAACCGGTACATTTGCAGATGATACAGCTATCCTGGCGAGTGCAAACGATCCGTCTGTAGCCTCATTCAAACTACAAGCTGGTCTTGATCGTATATCAAAATGGTTGCAGTATTGGCGCATGAAAGCAAATGAAACAAAATCTACTCATGTTACATTCACAATGAGAAAAGACACCTGCCCGGAAATTAAACTTAATAATATAATAATTCCGCAATCAAATAGCGCTAAATACTTGGGCATGCACTTAGATAGACGTCTGACATGGAAAACACATATTTTTAACAAAAGGAAATCCCTTGGGATTCAATACAGAAAAATATTTTGGCTACTAAATAAAAAATCTTCAGTATCCCTAAAGAATAAACTTATTTTATATAAAAGTGTGCTAAAACCAGTATGGACCTATGGCATTCAATTATGGGGAACAGCCTCAACATCCAACATAGAAATTCTTCAAAGATTTCAATCTAAAACTTTACGGGAAATAGTAAATGCCCCATGGTATGTAACTAACATTCAAATCCATCGGGACCTTGGGATAATCCCGGTAAGAGATGAAGTAAAAAAGGTAGCTAGAAAATACCATGAACGAATACAAATTCATCCCAACATCCTAGCTTCGAATTTGATGTCCCCCTCAAATATATTTACGAGACTGAAAAGGAAAACGCCGCTTCAAATTTTATTATAAAAATCAAATTTTATTATAAAGAAATCTTAAATTAAAAAGAAAAGAGTAGCTCTCTACAGGGAGAACTACTTTAATTGTAAATGATCAAGTCTCAAATAGTATTTATTAAAAAATTGTAAAATGTCACCGTACTATGTGACAGAATACTTATTGAATTTAAATTAAATAAAAAAAAAAAAAAAAAAAACTTTTCACTTTTTAGTTGTTGTTTTACCAAGAAAAACTCTTCTCGGTACAAGAATATTAGCTAAGTTTAATTAAAAGAAGTCAAAGTTGCTTACATAATTTATTATTGTTATGAAATGAAGTACGCGAATAGTGAATAGTTACACCAAAATTAATGCAAGTTTTAAACGAGATATATTCTATACATTTTTAGTGCTTCTTTTTGATGAATATTATAAAAATTTTATATAATATAAAAATTAAAAAAACATTTTTTGTGTATTGTTTATGTGTAGGATATATGAATATTTTTTTTCAGATTTTAAATGACATTATAAACATATAAATTTAATAGGGTTCATGATATGGTCATGATCATGTAGCGCCTTATATGAAATGACATATTTTAGTATAAATAAATGATTGCCTTATATTTCGAAAATAATATGGCGTTTACATTGGCTGAAAATGGCTCATTTTGAATGAGCCATTTGAAAGTGTTTACTTTCGTTGTAATTCATTTGTTCCCATTTCAAACATCTAATTTTTCAACTTTCCTGTTGATTTAATTTTTGGCCTGTGGCAAAAAAATGTTGCATGAAACCTTCAAACCTTACAATATAAACTGAAAACATATTTTTAAGTTCAATTAAGTACTTTTTGGGAAATAGAAGTTCTAAAAAGAGGTGCATGGTTTTCAAGAAAATGCAACCACCAAACATTTGTTTACCTTTTTTTGTAAATATATTAGATACAGCTTTCTCAAACTGTCAAAATGTCATGAAAAGCTTATTTAGGGTACGTTCAATGTATTCCTTTGCATTTGGAACATCTTTGGGACGCATTCAAACGTCGTTGGGACGCATTCATACAGAATGCGATCCAATGGATCCCATTCGCGCTTGAAATTTTGTGTGCAAGAATGAGCCATAAAAACATATTTTTAATTTCTGCATAAAATACCAAAAAAAACATAAAACCGTACAAAAAAAGTAAGTGCTTTCATCCCTCAAATAATTTGTGTGATGCACGTTTGTTTGCATTGCGCACTCTCACTTAACCTTTTGCTTACGAAGTCTTCGAAGTTTTTCACTGCACTTAAACTTCGAAGACTTCGAGAGAACAAAAATTTACAAAAACTTTGAAGTTTTTTTCAACTTCGAAGACTTCATTGAAATGCGAATATTCGAATAATCGAAGAACTTCGGTTTTTTAAAAACTTCGAATAATGTGAACAGCACTAGTACATAGTTAAAAAATCATGTGGTTTTTAGATTTCTACGAAAAAAAATTATTATACAAACATCAGGTCTAGTCTTCGGAAATTGTTGGCTGTAAACTTGTATTATTTGCGAAATGCATTTTAAATAGCATTTCACATAGAAATACTGGAGCTTTTAGTGCAACCGTAGCAATAATTTTTGTTCGCGCGCTCTCATACTTGTGTACTCTTAGAATTTATCTTAATTTAGTAAGTGATTTTAGGATTTTTCCACAAGCTAGTCAATAAAACTCGAGTAAAACATAAGTAAAGTACAAACTAAGAGCGTAACCCAAATAAAATGCCAGACTACGCTTTGTACATATATTTTCATAGAACAGCTTTGTGTAAAGTCTGGTGAGCTGTTTTTTGAAAAACAAAACTAAAATAGAAGTTGAAATTATTTTTTTCAGTTAGAGTTAGAATTCATAAAATTGTATTTTCTGTTCTTATGACAGACACTTTAGAGGAAAAACAAATTGTAGTGCCATGTTCACCAACAACTTTTTTGCAACTGCAAAATAATAAAAATTGTATTTTACATATTGTATTTAATGCATTTTTTATTGAATGATGAATATGTGAATGAGTTATCTATCGCAGTGGGGTGTTGCTGAAGAGGTGAATTTTATAATTAAAGAATTAAAAAAGCCCGGCGACATCTTGTACATAATTTTTTACACATACTCGTTTTCTTTTTCCTTTATATAATAATAAATTTAGCAATTCTAATTCTTCAAAGTTACTATATTAAAGTATATTAATTACTTTATATTTTGGCTGTGTTGAAATACTGAGTTCACTTAACAAAATTTTTATTATGTTTTTATCCATTTCCCTATTTATTTATAACAGTTGATATAATTAAAATTTCAGAATTTTTTTACTTTCACCAGTGCCGCACAAATAAACAATTCTAAAATTTAAATTCAAACCAAAACAGATGATTCACACATAAAAACAAATTTAAATTGAAAGAAAATGTTCCAGTAAAGTCTGTGTAGCATTTTTAAATTTCGACAGGGATGTTATGCTCTCTATATGATCTCATTTGCTCGAAAATTTGCTGGTGGAACGCACTTATACTATGTTTACATTACGAAATTTAGTAAACGAACTTTGCTAAAGTTGATTCAGCGCTTACATTATCGTTTCGGGTTTTCATTTTGACAGTTGCTGTTTTTGTTATCTTTTGTTTACATTTTGATATTTGTGAATATTGTGTTTGTATATATTTTATACTATATATTTTGATAAAAATTATGGATCTAAATATTATTACATTGCTCTGCAGTGAATCTGCACAACAAAATAAAATTCTCTATAATGATTAAATTAAATTCGAATAAGGCGCCGTAAAATAATTGGCAAAACATTGCAATTAATAGCGGCAAATAAATATAGAACATTTTACAATTTCTTAGTCTAAGAAAAATTGCATATAATGAACAAAATGAAACAAACCCAGCAAATAACAATTAACAATTTTGTTAAAAACTTGTATAAAAGTTTAAAATATTAAAAATAAAATGACTTTCATTAAAAATCAATTTCATTCACATTTTTTTTATTTTGGTAATCCGAACTCGAGATTAAACACTGTAGTAATAAAAGAAAATTATTTTAATAACAAACGTTTCTATAAATATAATTGTTTTTATATTTCCTTTTTTATATGCAACTTTCTTTATATAGGTATAGAAAGTTTCTTTCTACTGAACACCGCTTGCATTTAACTTATTGTTGTCAATACAAATGTAAACAAACAAAAGTGTAAACAAAACGAAATGTCATTTCACCATTTTCATACTAAAAACTTATCGATAACGCATTAAATTCAGCACTGTATTCAGGAAAAGGTATTAAATGAAACCAAACTTTGAGTTTTGTTGTGCCTATTTTTATGTGGCAAAATCGACTTTGGTTGCTGGTTTTGCGCTCAAAGTCGATTCCAGCCAGCAAAGTTCGTATTGTAAACATAGTATTATGCATAAGCAGAGTTACTCGAAATTACTACGAATAACTCGTGGAACAGATCTTTTATTTTCGAATTTCAGTGTGTTTTGAACTTTGTCATCTGTTAAAGCAGATAATTAATTGTAAATTAACATTTAAAAAACGTAAAATCACTTTACTAATCTCATATTTACACAAATAATTCGAAATTTCGTAAACATATTTTATAAAATGGGCTTGAAGTAATATCTTCTATATCTATTTAATTTTCAATTATTCAATATTTTACTATTCGCTCTTAAACATTTCTGATATATTCTAAAATAAGATAAACAGATGAATCTCTAATTTTTAAAAACCATTCTACACATACATATAAAGGAAAACATATGAGAGCACAGTTTATTTACAAGTTTGTTTGAATTAAATAACATAATTTTAAGCAATTTTTGTGTGTGAAAGTAAAAATCATCTCATGTGGAATTTAGTATTCTTTTTTTATGTAACTACCGAAACTAACCATTCCGAAAACCATTTAGTAGCTTAAGTAAATATTTATATATACATAAATTATAAGGACAAATTCTTTAACGTGCGAATAGGTTTTGGTACTCACTTGACGCTTGCATAATTAAAAAGCAGATTACGAAGAAATTCATTACACTGACTTCAGATTCCAAATATTTATTTATTTATTATATATAGTTGTTGTACTTTTTAAATCACAATTTTTTAAAAAGGGGAACACATTGAAAACTAAAAAAATAAAAAAACTGTATAAAAGTCTTTTAAACTCAATGCAGTTCACAAATTATAAAATTTTATCATCACAATAACTATAACTACTACAACTAATTGTTAACAAATAAATTAAACAAACTATTGAATGCATTTAGTCAGATTTAAAAGAAATTATTAAAACCGGTGAAAAATACTTCATGTTTTTTTTTTGTTTCATTTTTTATGTTTAGCAGTAAGTATGTCGTTGTTATTGTTGTTATTTATAACATTTTAATGAACTCTCTCTCTCTGTACAGTCACGAAGTAAAAGTGTAAATGCCTGAAAAAAGTTGTGGTTCGTTATTAATGATGTTTGTTACTAATCACGTTTATATTGACGGTTGTTCAGTATTTTCGCAGCAGTTCATAGGTGCATCTGTTATGATCTATTTTTTACATTTGACTTTTTCTATGCAAGTATTTTAAAAACTACAGTGTCTTTCTAATCAAATTCAATAAATTGCGATATTTCTAAAAAAATGTCATATTTAAAATTTTGTTTTTGTAAATAACTCGAAAACAGTTAAGGCTTCCATGAAAACTAAATTAAGAAAGTACAGACGTGTTTTTATAATATAAATTTTGTCACAGTGTTAAATTGAAATATGTCTGGCTTTTACAAATTTTCTTTTATCAAAAATCTATTTATCGTTACAACACAAAATAATATGCAATAAAAATTAGAAACACGTTCACAACGGTAAAAGTTTGTTTATTAAACGCGTTATCTTATTTATAGTAATACATTTGGTATGCTTTATTTTTTAATTATTATTGTTTTAATAAATAATTTTCGCATTCAGTGTCAATGTAACTTAAAAGATATTTAATTTAAAATTGATCTTTTGATCCGTTAGAACAAAACTTCTTGTATGCCCGTTTTTACGCTTTTATTATAGAAATATAATATTTTATCAATTTATTGTTTATGCGATTTGATATATAATAACCTTTTTTTAACACAAATATACTCTAATATTTAATTTTGAAATTTTATTAAACTCCGAATTTTAGTTCCGAACGTCACACATGCAAAACGTTTGGTGAAAGACTAAAACTCAGATTAGCCAAATTGTTTAACAATTTGAAAAGTTGGCCTAGTGTATAGTACACAAAGCTAATGAATGGAGGCACATACATATGCAGCGAATACATACACTTGCAGTAGCAAAACTTTTTAATTATAATACATATATATACTATATTTGTATGTACATATTTTTTGACTGGGGCAGTAAACTGTTGCAGCGAAGCATAGCATAACATTGAAACGAAAAGAAACGAACTGGACAGCAAAGGAGAATGTTTCTTGGCCATTTGCAATTGCGTGTTTGTGCTTATATTAAACACTATCATAACGCAGATTGTACACTTCGCTTCTATAGCTTTTACCTTTATTATGTTAATATTTTTATTTTTGATTTATTAATACCTTTTCAATTTTTATCATATTTTGAAATATAATGACATTTCTTAATATATTAACGTACATATATGTACATATGTATACGTATATGTGTATGCATATATAAACAATAGTGAAGATTAAATTATTGAACAAACTTTTTTAATACCAAGATATTCTTAAAATATTGACAATTAATTGCTAATATAAAAATAAACTAACAAAGGATTTAACAACTAAAAACCAAAAAAAAATTTTGTTGTGTGTTTTTAAAAACTATAGATTCTTATCAAAAACTATGTCAATATTTACAGTTGTAGATTTGACCAAAACTGACTTTAAATCTAAGCCAAAGAAGATAAAGAAAAGAAACTGAGAGTTACTCGAAAAATTGTGTATAAATTTTTCTGGATTATTCAAAAAATATTCAAAAATTTTGTGTAATGAGGTGAAAATATTACGCTGTACAATAACAAAAAGCCTAATGCTACATCAAAGAAGATAAAGAAAAGAAACTGAGAGTTACTCGAAAAATTGTGTATAAATTTTTCTGGATTATTCAAAAAATATTCAAAAATTTTGTGTAATGAGGTGAAAATATTACGCTGTACAATAACAAAAAGCCTAATGCTACATAATGGCGCGTGAATATTTTCCCCACCCGGACCCTGATACTTTGCCCACCCGGTCCCTACTCACCACGATATTTGCTAAAGTAAGAGAGGTTTCTGAGAAATTTCGTTGTTTGTTTTGGTTTTTTGACATTAAAAATCCGTTACGAGAAAATGCGCCAAAGTTGCAATTAAGTGCACAAATACCACATTACTAAAAGAAAAATAAGGCGGAATTTGTTTTCAATTATAAAAGCATTAAAAAAAGGTAATTATTCCAGAAAAATATATGAATTATTAGTTAATTAAAATTTATTTACAATTGAAACGGAAGTGCGTACTTGGATGTTTAAATTTCAAACATCTCTATATTTTTCCAAACGATTATCGAAGGTATATTATTAATTAAAAATAACGCAATTTATTGTTGTAGAATAAAGTAAATATATAAAATGTATTAACACATTAGAAACTTAGATGTGTGCCTAATTAGTGTATATAATAAACTACGAATTAAGTTGTGCTTTTATTTTTTATTTTTTCCATGATATACTAATAATTATAAAAAAGGAAAAATCCTGAAGAGAAATTAATATTATTAATTATACTTTGATTGAGTGTTGTTATTATATATACATATATTGAAAAATTAGAATCACAATTTTCGGATCAGTTCGATAGCAATTGCTATAAATTAGGTTTAGCGCAACATTTATTTAATAAATTAGAAAACGTTCATCCCTATATATGTTGCTCTAATTGCAAAATTGAAACTCTTCTATCTTTTTTCATTAAAGTAAGAATTTACTTCATTTTAAAATATTTCAATCGAGATAATAAAGTGTCGAATTTTAAATATAAAGAATTATGCTTTCAACACTTATAAACAGCACAAAAATGTTCATACTCTTTAAGTGATTTTTTGCTTAAACAAAAAATATTTCAGTTTTAATTTTATAATTTATTAAATTTATTTATAATTTATCTTTAATTTAATAGTTCCTTATTATTTTTGGTTTAATATTAAATATTTTTAAAATAGTAATATTATTTTGTATATATTAAGTTATTCTAAATTGTATTTACATAAAATTGTATATTTGTTAAATAAAATATTTTGATGGATAGGCCTATTGGGGAACCGAACACCTAAAACTCGGGAACACGCCAGCAAGCATACCTCTTAGGTGGCGCGGAAAATGCTTATATATTTAATATTTCTTCTAACACTTTGCGATGAAATTGATCCTTATTGTTTACAATGTTGTTATTAACTAGTTAAGAATTTCTTGAATTTCATATACAAAAAACATTTCACCTTACTGAAAGGATTGCTTAAAACTACAAAAAATATGTAGTAGTAAACAGTATATACATTTTTACGATTTTCTATATTGAAAAAATTTGATGCACAAGCAAAAATTGTATTACAATATACCAAACTTTTTTTGAATTTTAAAAAATTATATTAATATTAATCTTTTTGAAACAAAATATTAAAACAATGCAACCTAATACTCGAAATGTATGAACACATACTAACTTTTCTATTAGATGCTCAGCATATATATAAATATAGTACGTATATGTGCAACATGATTAAAAGAACTTTTATTTTAATAAATACGATACAATTTTTTTAACTTTATTAAAACAATTTCATGACTAATTATATATACATATATCAATAATAGCTACTTTATATTTACTATTGATTTTAGTTTACCAATTCTTCATTTATATTTGATTTATATAGCGCATTTAAAACTTTTATGTAAATTAAAGTAAAACTGATATAAAAAATCATGCCTATATTTACTCATTATAATCGTATTAATACATACAATGGATTTTCCAAAAACAATAATTTATACTATTTCTTCTAATTAGAAGAAATGGCTATATGCTAATATGCAACCACAAATGTAGTAAATATTTAAGTTATAAGCCACACCGTTTTTAATATTTGACAATTCTGGTATGGTAAATAAGTAAAAGAGATTTTCTTTGCGATATTACACAAAGAGGCACCATTATTCAAAATTTCCTCTCAGTTTCTTTTCTTTATCTTCTTTGTCTAAGCGTTAAGTTTTTAATAGTATCATCTTGTGCGGCAAGATTGAAAAATATACAAATTTATAGTTTACAATATAAATTAAATGTCGCTTTAGGTGGTTCAAACTTAAGAAACAATGATCACATTTCTGTTGGCCAGACACTCATGCCAATTTTTCGGCATGCCTAATACAATACATAATACCTAAAGCCTAAAGTGGCTCTTAGACATCAACGCGCGTTGACAAACACACGAAGTCTTCTCTTGCCATTACACATTAAATTTACCAACAATTTTTTAAACACGCCTCCAGCCAACAATGCAAAATTTGTTCACTCATCAGTATTAAAGCAATCGCTGAAGTGTCAACAGCGGCTGCTACGCGTAATTTCCTTACGAAAAATGATGTTCTACATTTAATTTATAATTTTAATTTATATATTTATTTTATTTTTATGATTTCAATTTATATATTTATTTTTATATATATTATATTTTATATAATTTAATTTTTTTTTTGGTATATTTTAATAACAAATTTTCCGTAAATGCACAATGCAATTAATATTTAAAACAAAATTTTCATTGTAACTTAATGTTTGGTTATTTTTTTTTAGCCCAAGGTTATTAATATTTTAATTCTTCTTAATAAAATTTTTTAATTTTGGAAATTAAAAAATTTTACCTAGGTAGAAAATACAAATATTTAACATAAAACATACAATTCATTCATATTTGCAAAGGATCGCTTGCTAACGACAAATCATGCGTGCATTTAAACGATGTTTACGCTTCTACTCCTCAAAATAAATTAAATTTTGCATGCCGACCAAATCCGACTGTATATGCAAAAACACGAGCGTGGTTGAAGAAATATCAAAATGTTTTGATTTTCGTCAACACA